GTAATTACAAAATCAATTTTTAAATGATTTCATTTTAAAGGCATGATGAAGCTAGGGATGGGAATTCATAAGAATTTAGCAATTCCATTATCGATGTCACTTATGGATTAAAAATCCTTATCGATTCTCATTGGCTCTGCTTTGAAAGTCATCACCATCACTAAGCAGCATATATGGGGCTGTGGTCAATATTCAATCAGGTTTAACATCACTCTGGGTTGTTGGCTATCTAAGCGTTAGCATGCTGTCTGCTGAGATGCTTGCAAAGAGCCGAAATTGTGTTAGCAGCAAAACTGAGTTGTTTCTGTCCTGGATGCAGTTTGCATTTTGCCATCACGCTCCATATGTGGAAAGGTAATGCTACCCTTGCTAAATCACAGCCTTCTTAATCAGGAAATCATGTAAATAGAAACCAATCTGAAGTAGACAGAAATATTGCAAAAAGCAACACATTGTGCTTCAATCTAAAGGAACTCAAGAACAATTAAGGAGCAAAGTCACTGACATCTGTCAGTCTGGAAAGGGTTACATAACCATTTCTAATCAAGGTGAGAAACATTATCCACAAATGTTGAAAACTTAGAAGAGTGGTAAACATTCCCAGTAGTGATGCGACTACCATAATTACTCCAAGAACTCATTGACAACTTATCCAGAAGGTCACCAAAAAACCCAGAACAACATCTAAAGAAAGAAGAGCGTGTGCAAAAAAGGGTGTAGCTATTGCGGTATACAGTGTGTTAAGTGGAGGAGTTGTACGGGGAGATGGCCACAGGCAGAAATGATTTCCTGTGTCGTTCAGTGGTGCTTTTTGGTAATCTCAGTCTCTCACTGAACATGCTCCTGTGACTGACCAGCATGTCATGGAGTGGGTGGGAGGTATTATCCAACATTGTCTTTATTTTGGACAACATCCGCCTCTCCGACACCACCGTAAGGGAGTCCAGCTCCATCCCCATAACATTACTGGCCTTACGGATCAGTTTATTAAGTCTGTTGGCATCTGCGACCCTCAGCCTGCTCCTCCAGCATGCAACGGCGTAGAGAATTGCACTGGCCACAACAGACTCATAGAAAATCCTTAGCATTGTCCGGCAGATGTTGAAGGACCTCAGCCGCCTCAAAAAATACAGATGACTCTGGCCCTTCCTGTAAAGTGCTGTGGTGTTTTTAGCCCAGTCCAGTTTATTGTCAATGTGAACTCCAAGGTATTTATAGTCATCCACAATGTCAACACTGACCCCCTGGATTGAAACAGGGGTCAAGAGTTTCCTGGTCTTCCTGAAGTCCACGATCACTTCCTTGGTCTTTGCCATGTTGAGCAGAAGATGATTCTGCTCACACCACGTGACAAAGGAGTCGACCACAGCCCAGTACTCTGTCTCATCGTCCCTGCTGATGCACCCAACCACTGCAGAGTCATCAGAAAACCTCTGAATATGGCAGGTCTCTGTGCAGTGGCTGAAGTCTGTGGTGTAGAGGGTGAAGAGGAAGTGGGAGAGGACGGTCCCTTGTGGTGCCCCTGTGTTGCTGATTACCTTGTCAGACACACACAGTAATCTAAACGAGATGGAACAAAAGCATTGACAAGTATGGCGGTACTGTTTGGAGTGATTGAAGGACGAAGGCGGTTATTATGATGAAGATGAAAATAAGAAGACTGAGTGATATTATTTATATGTGCCGTGCTGTCGAGGATGACACCAAGACTCTTAACCGGAGGGGAAGGTGTGCCAACACAGTTATCACTGGATAATGAAAGACTTCTGGTTGGAACTTTAGTCAGTTTTGATTTGGTGCCTATTAGAATAAATTCTAAAGTAGTGATAGTATGATGGTCTGGGCCTACTTTGCTGCTTCAGGACCTGGGCAACTTATCGTAATTTATGAAATCGTGAACTCTGCTCTCTACAAGACAATCCTGAATTAGAGAATCTGGCCACTAACTCAAACCCTGAAAGTCAAGCACACTTAGGTCAACAGGACTGTGATTCTACACACACCAACAAGTCCACATCTAAAAAAAAAAAAAAGAGTTTTGGACAGTCTAGTCAAAGTCTGGACTCAAATCCAATTGAAATGCTTTGGCATAACCTTAAGCAGGTCGCTCACGCTAAAAAACAAAAAACCCTTCAATGTGGCTGAATTAAAACAATTCTGCAAAGAAGAGTGGGCCATAATTCCTCCATAGCACTGTGAAAGACGCATTAGCAATTATCCCAATAAATGCTTGACTGTAGTTGATGCGGCCAAAGGAGACACAACCAGTTATTAGGTTTAGGGAGCAGGTAGATTTGGGTGGCTTTTCCTCCCTTAATAAATGAAATAATCATTTAAACAGCATTTTGTATTCATTTGGGTTATATTTGTCTAATATTGCAATTAGTTTGATCTGAAAAAAATAATAATAATAAAAAAGAAACGAAATCCGGAGTAAAATACTTAAAGTTTATGCCGTTAGACCTACCTTTGTTCCATTCATTACCTGCTTCTTCCAATTGGTCAGAGATCATAGCACTAACAAATGAATAAATGATCGAATAACTGTCAGGAGGGGCTGGTTTCAGTGCATTTGTTTTTCCTTCCTACGCTCTCTTATCAGTTGACACCCACTGTTATCAGCGCACACACTAAAGTCAATACTTGTAAATTACACTTGAACAAATCTGTCCTGCACTCCAGATTTCAGCGGTCTCGTGACTGCAACAATAACAACAAAAGAAAAAAAAAAATCACAGTGTCGTATTGGTTCTTTCTAAAGCCACTCAACAAAAATTCGGACTCTGATTGGCTGCTGACGTTGCACCCTTCCCCTCTCGGTAAACCTGTCACACAAGCTACTTCCTGGTGTGATTGGTGGGAAAACGCAATGCTGCATCAAAGATGGCTTATTATCAACCTGCATTTGATTTATTTAGGAATAGTAGTGTGAAAGAATAAGTGGCGCTCTCCGAGAAGACAAGGCGGAGAGCTGGTGGTAGCTGTCGCGAGCAGTGTTAGCACTCTCGCCGCACTACGCACCTCTTGCTCTCTACGTGCGCAAACGTTAACTTGCCTCTACTCTGCTAGCTAGTTAGCTCACATAGTAAATATTAGCTCGTCAAGCAAGCTTGCTTATTGTAGATTACTAAAATGGCCACCATGGAGAAATTGATGAAGGCCTTTGAGTCTCTGAAGTCATTCCAGCAGCAGCAGGGACCACCGACCGCCGAGGAGCTCGCTCAGAGGCAGTAAGTTGATTTTTGTCCAGCGGTGACAGAATAGGAGGCGAGGAGCCGTTAGGCTAGACCCTTAGCTTATCGTGCTAGCAGCGTTGGTCCATTTCGGGTAGATAACCAACGTTTAATAGATGGCTTTAAGTCAGCTGCACTAAAACGTAAACTGGGAATGAGGCTAAGGTGTTATTCATACTTCTCAGCCCATTTAGGTCCACTTGTTGCCATGCTTTAGATCGCTGCTTAGCGATGCTCGCTATCCTAACGCGATCTGATTGTTTGCTAGCCTGATTTTAGGATCAGAACAGCAGAATGATGGCTAACACAGAAGGCTGATGCCAAGAACACGTGAAAGGGTCAGGAGGATCAATTTCAAGGACGTAATTTTGTGTATTCAGTAGCAGAGGACATTGAGTTTCATAATAATATTTAAACTGCTTATGCAAACGGTTATGAATGGAATGATGAACATAGCGGGGCTTCCTGCACTTGCTTCATCTCCAAGAAGTTTTACAGATCTAGTCCGTTGTTGGTTGAAACACAGGGATAGGAATTCATTTATATAGCTTGTAAAGAAGTGAATTGATGGGATCAGTGCGTAAGGAATACAGTTGTAGGGGATGGCTCTGACTTATAGTTATTATTTTAATCACTGCATTCCTTGGCTATAAGCAAGATACCTAAATTCAGTCTTTCTTTGTGCACACACACACTCACACTCACGTCATCTTTTGCATTTTGTCTTATCTTCCACAGAAAAAAGGAGCAAGCTGCCACAAAGAAGGACAGGGTGACCCACTGTCTGACAATATGTGAAAACATTGTGGCTCAGTCACTGAGGTATTCCTTGTTATTTGATCTAAATATGTGTTGGTGTGAGTCATATCTTTTTATATTCTTTTAGGGTTTCCTATCACCTTCACTAACTGTATAAACGGTAAGATAGCTTTTCTGTAAAGCATGTCTGAGGTGCAGGGTGATGTCATTTGCAACCAGAGCTTCTTCAGTAGTGATTTTACATCTGATTTCACTGATTTCTGTGATATTTGTTTTCACTTTTGTATTTTGGGAATGAAGTGGGGACATGTTCATCTTTACATATATATATTTTTCTTTTCTGTAATGTCCTTTTTGAAAAAAAAACTAATGCAACCAAAGTTTGGGAAGTTAAGCCAAGGGGGTAAAAAGTTGAAAAAAGGAAAAAATGTATATATTTTTGGCTTTTCCTCTCTCTGGTCCTGGGAATAGAACATCTCCAGAGTTTCAGAAACTGCTTGGCATTGCCATGGAGATGTTCCTGCTCTGCAGTGATGACAGTGAATCAGATGTTCGGATGGTAGCCGATGAGTGCCTCAACAAAATAATCAAAGTGAGCAAAATCTGCAAGATGGGACAAATGAATAAGAATATTAATGACAAATATTAATTGTCAAAATAAGTTTGGTGTTGTTGGTGGTAGTGTTAATCATTCATTTTGATAATTTTCAGGCACTGATGGACTCCAACTTGCCTAGACTGCAGCTGGAATTGTACAAAGAAATTAAAAAGGTAAGGCATGGGGTTGTAAAGTGAGCATTTTGTAATACACCTTATGTCTTTACTCTCAGACTATAGGCCAGTGTTAGATGTGAAAAGAAATTGTTTGACGTTTCTTTAGAGAAAGTACGGTCAGATATTAGACATGGTAATATCAGTGCTTGTGTGGCTCAATAGAATGGTGCCTCTCGGAGTCTGAGGGCAGCTTTATGGAGGTTTGCTGAGCTTGCCCACCTCATCAGACCGCAGAAATGCAGGTATGCAAACTTATAATATTTTTACATTTTTTTTTAAACCATTATCCACAACATGTCTTATTTTATAGTCTGCTGCTTTTGTGGGGACAACATCAAAGTATCATCTGTGCTTTTTTTACTTGCATATGCATATTTTTGTTTTGCTTTTACTTCATGTATACTTCTTCTCTCTCCCTTATGGCGCAGACCTTACCTGGTCAACCTGTTGCCGTGCCTCACCAGAATCACAAAGCGGCAGGAAGAGACTGTGCAGGAGACACTTGCTACAGCAATGCCCAAGATCATGTCTGCCCTGGGACACTTTGCCAATGATGGTGAAATCAAGGTATTCACCTGCTGATTGTGTGCTAAAGTAGAAAAAAAAATCACAGGCCAGTGGAAACTTTTTTTTTTTTTTTTTAACATCATCCAACTATTTCTGTTTTAGGTGCTGCTGAAGGCATTTGTGGCTAATCTGAAGTCCAGCTCCCCGACCATTAGACGGACAGCAGCCAGTTCAGCTGTTAGTATTTGCCAGCACTCCAGACGCACCAGCTACTTCTACACCTGGCTCCTTAATGTGCTTCTGGGTAGGTTGCACACTGGCTCACTGTCAAGCACAGACTGTGGACATGTCTTTTCTACCATTTTCCATTTTACTAAGCTCATTTATGTTAACATATGTGAGCTAATTTAGAATTTTTGCCCTTTTCGCCTTTTTCCAGGTCTGTTGGTTCCAGTGGATGATGAACACCCCAGCCATCTAATACTGGGGGTGCTGCTAACCCTTCGTTACCTGATGCCTCTGCTGCAGCAGCATGTCAACTCCACTAGTCTTAAAGGAAGCTTTGGTGTCATGAGAAAGGAAGCTGATGTACAGCCAACACCTGAACAACTGCTACAGGTGAGATGGAATTTGTGTGTGTGTGTGTGTGTATATATATGAAAAAAGAGTTTGTATACACTTGTATAAGTGGATGTGTAATAATTCTGTATGCATGTCTTTTAAAGGTGTATGAGCTAACCCTACACTACACACAGCACTGGGATCACAATGTGGTCACAGCTGCTCTGGAGCTGCTGCAGCAGGTTTTCAGGACTCCCCCACCAGAGCTTCTGCATATGCTCATTACTGCTGGTAGCATCCCACATGCCACCGTTTTTCGTCAGGACACTGAGAACCGCTCACGTTCTGGCAGCATCCTTGAATTCATTGGTAATCACATGAATTGACTAATACTATCTAAACAGTGCTTTTTATCATCCCTTTAGATATGTGTCTAGAAATATTTACACAGTTAACCAGCTCTAGAGACACGATTTTTATCTGTTTCAACTAGTTTATAATTCATTCACTTATGCTGACTTTGCCAGGGAACCGCATGGACAAACTGTGTTGGGGTTCCACCCTAGCCTCTTCTTTTATTCGTGGCCTTTTTCTTTGCATTTTAACTAATTTTCTGACATCCTTAAATAATAGTTTCTGTTTCTTATAAGCTTCTCTGAGCCTGTACTACTTTCCTACTCCTCAACTTCTATTTCTGCTTCCTGTTTTCATGCCTTTTGCAGCGGGGGGAGGGTCTTCCTGCAGTCCACTCCTTCTCAGGAAACAGAGAGGTGACTAGTCTGTTTATCTCCTCTGTTCACCTCTTTCCTCTCTCAGATGTGCCAATCAGGGCTTGAACAAGTTTACCTTCAACTGTGAGGCACAAAAGGCCGTGGACTTGCCTAAAATTACATATTATTAGCCCTGTATATCTAAATTTTATTCTTGTACTCAATTTAAAGTAAATCACCACACTTAGGTTTGAGTGCCTTTCCTTTTTTTTAAACTGCTGTTAATCTTACAGATTCATGTTGACAATAAACCTGTTATTTCCAGGTAAAATGCTCTCTGGAGAGGAGGATGGGTTGGAGGATGACCCTGAGAGGACTGAGGTCACTACTGGTGCTTTCACAGGTGAGATGCAAATTATCAAGTTTATGTCAACTTTGACTGTGTTCCTAATTTCACAGTGTAAGTATGTGGAGCAAAAATAAAGCTTCTGTGTGTTTCTTACTTTAGCATCAGTTGTTGGTGCAGACGGCTCTTCTGCAGCCCAGGTGGACATCATCACTGAACAGCCTCGGTCTTCCCAGCATGCTCTGCAGCCTGGTGATTCTGTGGACCTCAGTGCCTCCTCAGAACAGGGCGGTGGCGGAGGTGGGACATCTACATCAGGCACTCCAGAGTCGCCCAATGACAACGAGGAGGAAATGCTGAGTCGGAGCTCCAGTGGTGGGGCAAATGTTACCCCAGAGACTGCTGACTACACCACCCCAGAGAATGCGACTCCAGAGGGAGGGCCTCTAGGAGAAAGTGGGACACTGCTAGGCACTAATGATCGCTCACTTCCACCCAGCGACTCCTCCCAAACCACCACAGAGGGACCGGACTCAGCTGTCACCCCTTCGGATGTAGCAGAACTGGTAAGTTGACTGGGTAGGACTGCACATGGCTAATTTTATTTGAGACTACAGCTTGTACATCCAGTAATTGTGTGGGTTTCTGTTGAATAAAATGAACAGTGTGCTTCCCTAGACAATGATGGATTTAATTACCATGCAATCCATTAATTACCTCTGAACCTTTGTGTCTCTGATGGCATTTTTCTTGGTTTGAAAATGATGCTTCACTTCCCAGAACGTTGATTCTGTTGATCTAGATGTAGTTTATTGAGTCACTTGGATGAGTTACGAAACCTCTATCCCACTGAAAACATCGTATTTTCTTCAACATTAGTGGAATATTGGTAATATTGGTGATTACACAACTTTATTATCCCCCTCGATTTCCTGAAGACTTGTGGTAGATGGTGTTCCTCTCTTCACCACCACTACCGCTCAGTTCTTCAGAGGTGGGAATGCTCCTGTAATATTCTATAACAATCCATGAGATTGTTATGAACTGGTGCTAAAAATAACATTACATTTAAAATGAATGAAATTGATTGTAAAAGATTTTGGGGTCAAATATATTTCCTTGTCCCTGAGAATAAATATTTCTTCCAGTAGTGATATTGAGTAGCATATTAACAGGAGGTGATTACAAAACAACTTCCTTTGCACTAGCATTTCTTTCTGAAGACTTTTTAAAAGATAAAAAGCAGCTTATCAGAGTAGCAGCTAGAAATACTTTCAAGAAGATCAGTTTTTATCCTTAGATCTTTTGTGCAGGAAAAAAGGAACATGAAATCCTTAAGTGTTCAACCATAATGCTAACATTAATAAGTCACAATCTGGTTGTTAAGTGATTATGTATGAACCCTGCTTACAAACTACCCTGCGTTTATTAAGGCTGTTGTCTTTTTATGGTGTTTTAATGCTTTGAATCTTCTTAAATTTAATCTGAAGAAGCCCCTAAAAATAGTCAGTGATCACTGTCGGCTTCTCTGGATTTTTATTGCTAGTGTTCATCTGCAGTACATTTTAAAGCTCAGTTTTTAAAACCTTGCGATGTAACTACAGCCTATTGGCTCACGATTTGCTGGACACCAAATATTTGAATCAGGTCACCCTGAGGCTAATAAAGATTTGAACAGGTACATGAAGCTGAGGATGAGGAATTTGTCACAGCTAGTAATCCAAACCATGCAGCAGTATATTAATGACTTACCTCGTGATGGAGATGGATCATCACTTCTGACTGAAGTTTGGCTCGTTTTCAGCATTTTTCCTGCCATGCGATTGCATTTGTCTCTGCCCATCCCTGAACCTCACGTTAACATTTACCGATTTACCGAGGGGAAAAAAAGTCTGCGTCTATCCTTCAGCTTCACTATGCTAATGTGTTTCTATATTACCCTAACCATAGCGCTGTAGCTAGCCACAACGTAGCACATTATTATATACCAGCTAGTCCAACTTCAGTAACCCTACAAACGTCGCCGCTGTTCAGTTTTCTGTCTTCATTCATGTCTGACGTGATAGCAGAGCTGTGCGTTTTTAGTTTTTCAGAAATCCCTCGGTCAGAACATTGTACATTATCTTCAGATGGAAACCAACGAGCTAACTCCCAGCCTACTTCTAACTCTGGTAAACTTCAGAAATTCTGTTTTTTCATGAATGCCTGGATGTTAAACCGGTAGAGCAGCCACACTGATCATTTTATCAAAGATGAAAGGATTTAGACAGTTTCTAACTCTCAATGATGCCCCAGTGTTTGTTTGAGTTTGGGAACTGAAGAGGAATTTGGACCTGGAAACAGCTAATGACGTCAGACTGAGAAGCGGATAAGTCTTATTTTCCCCTGTTATGCTTTTAGAAGCAGTTGGACTTGTTTTCTATGTCATTAATTTTTTGTCTTTTTATTATGCTCCTAATCATGACACAGTAATTTTGACTGTTGGACTTGGTTGTGGATTAAGTTCACGGTCTGTTTCTCCTGTTAGGATTATTTTGGGGGATGCTTTTTCAATCTTTTTCACTCTTCTGGAACCAGTTTTCTTATCAGCAGCAAAACATGTTCCTAAGGTTAAAAAAATCACGAGCATCATTCCTAGATGATGCATTCAGGACTTGAAACGATAAAGGCTGCATATGCATAATGCAACACTTTCTTTAAAATCTAGTACATATAAAAACAAAGCAAAATAAAACAAAAAAAAAACTTCTATCTTAGATTTTTAACTCTGTCATCCACTCATTTAATAAAACTCTAACTCTTTCAAATGTTACTTAAGAAAAAGTTTAATTTGCAGATTTTTGCCGCTGTACCTGGAGTGTCAGGTTAATCTGCCTTTCTGGCCCCGACTACAGAACTTTTGTTACATAATAATTCTACCTCTGTGGTCTTGCCCCCCCTTTCCTATATCCTTCGTACCAGTCACTTCGTACCAGTCACACTTCATTGCCACGGGTGATTGAGCCTTCCCCACCCTCGCCAGCTTCCACTGAGGGTCCCGATGCCGCAGACAGCGACTCATCTGTCTACACTGCCTCCTCTTCGTCTTCTTCATTTTCTTTCACCTCCTCTTCCTCCTTCTATGCCACCACCTCCTCCTCTAGCAGTAGTGACAAGGTCAGCCTGCAGGACACAGTGAACAGACTGGGATGGGCTTGCTTGTTTCAATACATTTGGCTTTCTTCATTCTTTCTCCTTTGGTTGGCTCAACCCATGCAAAGACTTTTCCTAGCTTGTTGCCTCTTTTCCCCTCCTGTTGTCACCGACAGTAGATTATGCACCTTTCTTTCCCCCCTCATTTTGAGGTATTCCCTCCTGAAAATCAGATGCGTTTTGATAAAAGCAAGCAGCTTTGACATCCCGTGTGACTGGCCTGGAGTGAAGTTCAAAAGGAGAGGCATGAAGGCCAACTGTTTTTTTTGTTGTTGTTGTAATTCTTCAGATTTGGTTCTCTCTACCATTTGAAGAGGCTGTGACGGGCTTTTGTTCCAGCCAAACTTGGAGAATAAGACAATATTCACATTTTCCTCTCTTCTTTTTTTATTGTACCATTAAATTGGTTTATCTTGCGAGGGAGAGTTGTTCTTACCAAGCTGGTTTACTGTCAGAAGTAATGCAAACCAAAACCAAGAGAATAACATGCACTTTAGAAGAGCTGTAGTTCTGCTTAATAAAAAATATTGTTAGCATTTCAGGGTCAGGTTGGAGCAAAAGCTTGGTCTTCCTCTGGATTGTTGACTTTTTAAGCTTGTGCTTTTTCCTGTATGCAGTTGATTTGCTGTGAATTGTGTTGACCCAAGCATGATTCAGTAGACCTGTTTAATGGGGGAATTTTTTTTAAAATTTAATTTGTAGTTTTAGTCATTTGTTATGTTTTCCTCTGTCCAGTAACTAATTCGGTGAGTCGAAACTATTAGGTATCATGTGCATGCGGTTACATTTCAAAGTTTGGCAAACTGCCAGTTCTAATACATTTATGAATTTGAGTTTTCCCTTCTGAAGATGGTTTCTTTTTAATTGATTTGTGTGTGTGTGCTTGTGTGTGCTTGTGTGTGCATAAGGTTCTGGATGGCAGTGAGAGTCAGTACTCTGGAATGCAGATTGGAACACTACAGGATGAAGAAGATGAAGGAACAGCACCTTCCTCCCAAGAAGAACCCCAAGAACCATTCCTGCAGTCAGCACTTGGTGCGTTTGTGTACACAGCTATGCACACATAAACGCAGATGGGCTCTGCCTAATAGAAAGCTTTAATGGTGGTTATTGTTTCTGTGTATAGCTCTTAGCAAGCCTCATCTCTTCGACGGCCGCGGTCACAACCGGCAGGGTTCAGACAGCAGTGTGGACCGTTTCATACCAAAGGATGAACCTGCTGAACCCGAGCCCGATAATAAGGTAAAGTGACGTAAAACTCTCCGTGCTTGTCATATATGGTTGAAGTGAAAGGTTAACATTATGTCACTTGTCTGCTTTTCTGTCAGCCATCACGCATAAAAGGTCCAATTGGGCACTATACAGACCACAGTGCGGAGCCACTAGTGCACTGTGTCCGGCTTCTTGCTGCTTCCTTCCTACTAACAGGACAAAAAAATGGTGAGTGGGTGTTCTGCTCAATACCAAATTTTTTTTTTTCGTTTTGAAACTGAAAATTTGACTCCTTGATCTGATTGTCAAAATATATCTAACAGCAAAGTACAACTTCTACTCTCAGGCCTCTCATATATCGGAGTTGTGCTTGTTCCTGTGACTTTTTGACATCTGTGTGTGTTATTATTTGCTTTGTGTTTCTTCAGGCTTGATTCCTGACAAAGAGGTGCGAGTAAGTGTGAAAGCCTTGGCTCTCAGCTGTGTTGGAGCAGCGGCAGCGCTGCATCCCGAAGCCTTCTTTAACTCCCTCTATTTGGAGCCGCTGGACGGCGTTCCAGTTGTAGGTAAGAACTGGGGGGAAAAAAACAAAAAACTGCTCCTATCTAGTAGATGTCTAAGTAACGTGCAATAGTAAACCAGTGTGTATGCTCCCAGTACTGAAACTATAATAATAATAATAATGAT